CACCCGAATTTGCTGGTTATGTCCAAGGTGCCATGCATTTGAATCGAAGAAAATGATGACTCATCAATCAATGGAGCTCAACAACGATGAAAGTTCAACTGATGATGAAGTCATGAAAGAAAGTTCTCCTGTCAATGATGACAAAATTGATGATGACACTGTCAATGTGGAATTTGATGATCTGAATGAAGAAGAGAAAGAGAATCCTCATGTGGACAGTGATATCAAAGCTGAGTCAAGTGACAATGATGAATCACCATGCACTGATGAATTAACTGATCCTGAATCGATGGACGAGGATACAGGCCATGCTTTGTATGAACTCGAACACCAGAAAGACAAAGCAATGAAAGAATTATCAAAAACATTCGAACTATTGGACATAGATCCAATTCATGACAGGTTAATTTAAAAATTTAATTCAAATTTTCTGAAACGACAATGTATTTAGATCAGTAGTACTACCCATTCGAGCCAGAAGTCGATGAGGTGTATAGAAAACTTAATCGATTATGTTATATATTGGATGGAAAGACTCAAGTTTTGCATGATCCAAATCCTCACGGACTCATGATACATGAGTCAAATGAACTTTTGGGTAGTTTGAGAAAGTTATATGCTGATAGTGATGCTAGTGAAAAAATTCGCTTGATGACAATTGCTCCCACAGAATGGGGTCGACAAAAAATTGAAAAATGGTGCGTATTTTATCCTCCTTTCGTTTGATATCGACGTATATTTCTAATCAAATGTTACTAAAAACTTCTTTCACTTATCAGGTTCAACTCAAAGCCAAATCAGGCTCGACGATTGCTCGTTCTTCGAATAAACAATGGAATATTAGCTTATCCACAATGCATACGAGGAAATAATCGTCCTTTATGTGATTCAACAATTGATGCTGTGGTCAAATTCTATCGTGAGGATGGCATCAGTTGAACCTCATCCAATTCCAAAGACACAATTAAAATCGACGGGCAACCAGTGGCAGTGCGGTTTTTAGAAATGACTGTCTTGGATGCTTATCACATCTTCGATGAACAACATCCTGGAGCTGTTGCAAGATCAACTTTTAATGCTCTTCGACCACGAGAAGTAAAAACCACAACACCACAACACCACATGACACGTGTATGTGTATTATCCATGAGAACATGATCTGTTATTGAAGGTTTGTACCAGTTGTATATTGATTCGAATGTAACGTAGCTTTATTGCAGGGATGGAAGAACTACTACCGAAAATGCGTCAGTGTAGGTTCTTTATCAACTAATGACAAGGTCAATATGAAGGATCTGATCACTCAAATGGTCTGCACTATCTCTAATGAAAAGTGCTTTAATGATGAATGTGATGATTGCCCAACGAAAAGCATTACGGATATTCTCACAGATAACAACATAATGGATTTAGAAGACGAATGCTCATGGAATTTGTGGAAGAAAATTAATAATAAGTTCGACCGTCAACAGATGTCTGACTCAATTGACTCTCTATTAACGGAAATTGAAGAAAGCTGGCCGTTATTCTTACTTCACACACATATTAATCGTGAACAGCGTGAATATATCAAAGACTTGCGTTGCCAATCAACGACAAAACGTTTGTTATTGCTCAAATCGATTTTTCAATGAATTATACACTGGTACATCAGCATGAAGTTCAACAAGAATTTTTTAGTCAGCACCAAGTCACCTTATTTACAATTCATCTGACCATTGGAAAAGAACAACGAAATGTAGCGATCATCAGTGATTATATGGAACACACAACGGTGTTTGTGCACTGTGCACAAAAGGTTCTTACTCAATTTATCAAGAAAAATTTTCCGTTGGTAAGGAAGATCAATTATGTGAGGTAAATTTCACTTTTCTTGAAGTTTATGTATTACGTCAACTCTTTCCTTTTATTTAGCGATGGTACGTGTGCGCATTTCAAAAACAATGTCAGCATTTTGAACCTAATTCACCACAAGATCGACTTTGATTTGGATGCTTGTTGGACATTTACAGCTACAGAGCATGGAAAGGGTGCCGGCGACGGCATTGGTGCAGTACTTAAGCCCTCAGCTAGATGTGCTACACTTTCCACGAATATTCTCATGTCAAATGCAAAAGACTTCTACGAATTCACACAAAAACAACAACTTGAAACAGCAAGAAGATCTAACAAAGATATTCCTGGTGTTCATGGCTTCTTTCTTGAATCAGATGAAATAGAAGAAGCGAAGAACAGTTATCTGAAAGCTAGAAGCGAAAAACTTCGAACAACAGGTGAAAAAGGCTTTTACTTCTATTTGTTTATGTCTGTATTGATTTAGATACACTACACGGAATTCGAACTAAGCATGAATTCAAACCGATCAGCAATTCCACGATTCAATATAGTTTGACATCTCGATCAACACATATCAGGACATTTACATTCAAATAAAAATTCTTTTTAGGTCGTTTCCAGTCGATCAAATTTGTTAAAGTCAAACTTAATGATGATACGCAACATTCAGACAAATTGGACAGCTTCTTATGTCCTCTTTATACTAGATTTCTTTAGTCTTAGGTTCATGAATTCGAAGAAAATGATTGAGCAATCAAGACTTTCAATAGGATGCGTCTAATGTTTCTCAGGAAATATATTTCTTGACTTGTTTCATATTTTTGAACACAAGAAAAGTCCGAAAAAATAGCTTTTGAAGAAGTTTCAGGCATTTTCCTGATAGTTTTTCTATGTGTAAAAATACACCATAGGAGTTCCGAAAAATTGCTCAAAAACTCGGAATTTTTAATACAAAGTATTTCATCTTTTTTCCATTAAAAGTGTTTTCGAGTGCATACCGGCATTTTGAATCGGAAACAAATAAAAAAAAACCTTTCCAAAATAGTGGATGGGTCTTCATGGATTCACCCATAGTTTGAAACGCCTAAAATTTGACTTACCGTGTGAGTCTTTGTTATTGCGCTGAAGAAGGAAACAATAGTAAGTGTTGAAAAAAATGAATCGCATATATAGTAGTAATATTTGTTCCTATCTTTGTTTTTCTTTATCAATTGAAGAAAGTTTGCTTTTTTTCTTTCGCAAGTTTGCAAAAAAAAACTTTTCATGGAAATATGATATGCGGAAAAATTACTAACCCAACATGAAATTAATTCAAAAGTCATATCTTACCTGCGTGGAAAAATCTTTGGACATAGTAACAATTGTCTTATCTATTGTGTGTCACTGATAATATATTTGTCGTAGACATGTAAGAAGGACTGATGTGATTTAATGACTCATATATATGGCTCAATTGTTGTGTCTTTATGTCGAATCTGGGAAACATCCAAGAAGATATCTGTAAAAGACATTTTTCTTAGAAAAATCCTTGTTAATTGAAGTACAAAAGTTGTGCATCGACTGCCTATTATTTATTCATATAGCTTGTTTCATCCTATTTCATAGCCGTTCGGTTGTAAAAGTTACTCGATATTTTTTCAAATTTTAGGCTGATCGATCCGAAGATTCGATACATTGCTGTCTCGACGATTGTCAATATTTCTTTTTGTGAGTATTTCAATTATTTATCTTTGATCGATTGATTCTGCACTTTTGAATGGAGAGTATTTTCGACCTGTCTCTCACCGCCTATGTCTCTGAAAAGACTTTTGAATATGCTCATGCTTGGTCTCATCACATAGTACGATAGATATGGTGAAGATCTCTATCACGATTGAAGGGACTCCGTCGTGTTTTACATCTTAATTTAATAGAAATTACTCTAAAAGCTATATTGTAACATAAATAATAGCTCCGATAGGTTTATCACCCGTTGGGCCAGCGTTGGGCTCACGTGCGCTAGTTTCCTTTCCCTTTTTCTTTCTACGGACGACGATATCTGCTCTCATTTCCGCCCAATGCTTCACCCATATTTAGGGTACATATGATGGGGAATTTGAATTTGGGCAAATTCACTTTCTTTAAAAAAAGATGAATTTGTGGCAAAATGGTTATCCATATGTGAAAGGGGGGAGAGAAAGTGGCCACTTGTGCCATAGACATGGTCGTTTCCGCCATTGTTACAGACAGACACAGATGAATTACGGTTTCCAGATCCAATCCTTTCAGTCTAGGGAATATCAATTTTGAGAAAAACCTTGAAAAAATGCTTTGATGGCCGAGAAACAGGTATTTAATTTTCGAACAATCAGAGCGCGGACAAAGAGACGAGCAATTTCCATTGTCTATATTCATCCTTTCAGGATTGAGAAAAGCTAAAACCCAAATCATATCAAAACCAGTTTTGGTTTTGGTGTATGCCCAGTACTGGGTAATATTGCTCTGTTGTGGGAATTGTTTTTGGTAATTTCTGTCAAAAGAACTTTTCCAACGAATCAGTTTAAGGAAGAATTTGCAAACGCCACGACACTGGAGCTCCGGGCTCCAGGGAACTCCATTGGAATCCAGCGGACTCCAATGGCTGAATTCGAGTATTGTTGTATGTTTGTCTCTAAATCAAGACTAATATATATTTCATTGGCTAATGCACATAATTAAGAAACAATCAAAACATAGGAGTATCAAATTTTTATAATGGGTACCTAAAGAAAGGCAAGAATTTTACAAGATTCCATGTGGCTTCAAGTGACTGGAATCTGCTGTTTCCCCCTTACCTGTGCCTGTCTGTAACCGTGGCACAAATGGTCATTTTGTTTTACATATGGCCATTCCCAAGATACAAACCATCGCTGGATCTATAGGAGAGTCACGCGTAATAGCGCCGCTAGTAATGTACTGAAACTTTGCCGAGACTCTAGGTCTCGGTCGGTCTCAGTCTCTTGCTAAGCGAAGAACCTACGAGCTTAGTCGAAGTCGAGAAGCTCGGTCTCAGTGCATCCCTAGACACTCCAGTCCCAGTGACGGCGGCAGTGGAGGAGATGGGCTGAGCCTTCCTACGAAATTTTGGGTCTGCTAGCGCAAAATTTCTGAACAACGCGTTATAGTAACTAGTTGAGACTCAGCCCCACGCCACTCTGAAAGACCTTTTCGTAGACGAAACCGTGGTTTGGTTACTGCCCCATTCTCCTCTTTTAGCTTGACTTAGCGTGGGTTTTATTAGTGATTTTCCTTGGGAAACTTTAATTTTCGTCTCATTCGTACCGGCAGTTTCACTTATTCAGCTTCCCCCTTCGCACCTCCGTTCAGCTTATATACGATCGCCCATCTGGAATTTTCAGGATCCCCCTCTGGCACAAACAACCAATTTTCTTTTCTGTCCATATATTTGTAAGCATGAGCCCTGCCAGTTTAGGTCCAAATGAATCGATTCTCGATTCACGCTACTTGTATTTTCAAGAAACAAGATATTGTTCGGCTCTAGGAATGTGATAGTTCTCAGATCAAAGCTCAGATCAAATGAGCGAAAGAATTGTTATAGGCATCATCCATGGGAAACTCTAACAGTTCTAGAGATCTGAACTAAAAACTGAACTGTCACATCTCTATCGGATACATGTTAACCGATCGGAGGCGGACTGGTGCTCGCGATTGTGGTCTATCGACTCAGATCGTGGCGGTACGACCAGATTCATGGCATTTCCGTCGATTTCCTGACGCTATATTCTAAAACGGGCCCTATCTCCGATGCCGATTCTATTCCAGTCATTTCTGGCAGTCGGAAAACGGAGATCAAACTGCAGCGAATTCTTCATATTTTCCGGCGGGTTCTTGCTGGAAACAGTATTTTTCCTGCGGAGTCCCAGGCGAAAATTCGCGGAATACTCTGTCAGGAATCATTGACCTGGGGAAACTATATTGGTGGTGACGATATGAGCCAGATTGGTTAAGATTATAAAGGGTTTGGAGAGTGGATCGAAACTTCTGATAGGTACGCCGCTATGGCTAAATAGTTAAAATGTTTGGCACATATCCACAAGATATCATGTTCGAACCTCGGCTCCATCAGTCATAGAATGATCTTGGACAAGTCACTAACGGCTGTTTTGTCTCGGACCACCCATCCGATAACAAATTGACTACATAGTTGACGTGCACTAAATAGTTCTTGTGACTAGTATGTGTATGTGGTTAGTCAGTATGTATGGGGAGCTTAAGAAATTAAGCGAGAAGAACTCTGAGTCAGGCCGGCCTTCTGTCCCGAGCTACATTTAGTAATAGATGTAGGAAAAATATCGGGCTTCTCGAAACTGTCCTCGGACAGCACCCTACACCGAAAGGCGGGGTATTCTTCTTCTTCTTCTTCTTCTTCTTCTTCAATGGCTCAATAAAGAACACAATAAACTATATTAATATTTTGTTTTAAATAAGAAGTCGTTAGAAGAAGTTATTGATGTATTGTTGGATAAAAGTATGTCGGAAGAGACTGGCAAGTAGACGGTAATTGTGATGCTCCCAATGGAGTGCATTGTACGGGTGATCATTAACGCCCCCGATGCTATACCCTTTTATTCTTGACATCGTCTTTGCCTTTTTTGTGCTGCTTCGATGTTCATGCTGTTCATCTTTGACATCTCTCCTCTTTCGTTTTTTCTTTCTCACTGATGCTTGTCTATTTAAGTGTGCGTTTTTCATCACAGCAATGTGATCGATGGTCGAAGAAACGAAATAAAGCATAATACAATCAGTGTTAGCTGTTCTTCCATCAGAAATTGTCACAGTAACAACAGACCTTTTTTCTGTTTCTCTGCTCTTATTTCTTCTATTCTATTCTAATGTATAGCAAAACACATCTTTCGAATTCAACTTGACATAGTTAGTTTCATCAGCTTTAGCTCATTTGATGAAATTGCCATATAGTTGCAAAAAATAAGAGGGAGTGAAAATTTTGCAAATCCTCACAGCCCATCCCCTCGTTATATGCATTAACTGCTACGACGAATACAGTTTTCTTTTCAGTTTATATTTTTTTGGTATTAGCATAATCAGACTAAATAAGTCACGTGAATAACACATTTCACAAGTCTCTTCGAGACTGCACTAACACGTGCTTTATCTTTTATACGAACAATGTTCTGTATGCTTTTCTTTGCATTGGTATGTGACGCACACATTTTTACTATCAATCTGCAGCATTGATAAAAGAAAAGCAAATTTACTTTGTGTTATTTTATTGTTCTCAGATTTTAACGGCCACCATGTTGACTGTAATGTATCGACGGATCTTGTCGAATGCGATACGGAACTGTCGTATGTTCAACTCCGACGCGCGGAGTTCGGCGACTCCAGGAGGAAAGTCAGAGTTACGTGGTGATGGTGCCATTCGACGCAAGAATCCGCTTGGTTCAACAATTGAGCAAACTTATGCAGGTGCTTTATCATTTCTTCGACGAAACTATACGCGTGATTTGACGAATGTTGATGTTGCTATCACCGGAATTCCGCTTGATTTAGCAACTACTTATCGGCCGGGTGCTCGATTTGGACCTCAAGGCATTCGAGAGGCATCGGCACAAGCGGGAAAAAGAAAATCTTATCCTGAAGGAATCGATATTTTTGCTGATCTAGCCGTTGTTGATTATGGCGACTGTTGGTTTGATCTTGGTCAACCTCATACAATACCAAGGGCTATTGAGACTCATGCAAAAGAAATTATTGATCAGAATGTCTTTCTTCTGTCACTTGGTAAATCATTCTTTGATGAAAAACCTGAATCGAAACAAACTTTTCTTTTTCTAGGTGGTGATCACTATGTAACATATCCATTATTAAAGGCTCATGTTTCGCGTCATGGCAAACCCTTGTCGCTAATTCAATTCGATGCACATTGTGATACATGGCCAGACAAAAATCCACACAGTCTCAATCATGGTTCAATGTTCTATTATGCTGTTTCTGAAGGTCTAATTGATCCTCATACGTCAATACAAGTTGGAATTCGTACCTTCAATGATGACTTTATGGGTGTAAAAATTCTTGACGCTGAATGGGTACATCAACATTCTAGTACGGATGTTGCGGAAGAAATTCGAAATCGAGTCGGAAATAATCCAACTTATCTAACGTTCGATATCGATTGTCTCGACCCAGCGTTTGCTCCTGGTACCGGCACACCAGTATGTGGAGGCCTAACAATGGCACAATCGATTGCTATTCTACGGCAGTTAGGCTCAATCAATTATGTTGGAATGGATATTGTTGAAGTATCTCCACCATATGATCAATCAAATATAACAGGTCTAGCTGCAGCAACTCTAGGCTATCGATTTCTATGCTTACTTCGAAATAAGAAAATCATTGATAACGCATTTCCATTTGGAAATTATAAAAAATAAAAATAAATTTTCGTTATTTTATTACGAATAAGACACATAGTCAACATAACAGATAGCAGACATGCATGTTGATCTTGTCCTCACGGATACCAACACCTGCGTACTCAGAAATCTAATGAGAAACTAGCACCAATGTACACAACTGCATGATGAGAATACATGCAACGCGCTTGTGTCTATCTATTCTATTTCTACTTGAGCTAAATTTCTGTTGTTGAGAATAGCCAATTCATCAAGCACCAGCCAGTTCATTTATTTTTAAAGTAAAAATCGATTCTTTGCTAAAGTAAATGGAGAGATCGGAACCATTGACATCATCAGAAACATCATTGCGCTCTAGTTGAGCTAAAGTCGGTTCTATTGCTACAAAATTAGGCATCTGTTCTGGATCAGCAAGTACTTCAGCATATCTAATTGTACGACGACGACTATAATAACAAATGCTGCTCGTTTCTCAACGCCTCTCATGCCATACATCGGAAACTGCTCATGCTCATAGAGTGTATCATATACATGCGCTAACTCTATTAAAATCAGACAAGAGATTGAATGGTAGTTGCTGTTGTTGTTTGAATATATTAAATGTAAATATTGAATCGGCCGATATACCAAGTACAGTACAATTGAGTCTTGAATATTTTATCATATTGTCACGAACCGAACATAACTTTGCTGCACAAACACTAGTAAAAGTCAACGGAAATAAAAGAAGAATGACGTTAGAATGAGCAGTCACATTGTGAAGAGATATTTGTTTATAGTAGGTGTTGTAAAGAGTAAAGTCAAATGCATGATGATCGACTAGCGAAAGGACTTTTTCCTTTGAACTTTGTGAATATCTAAATTTTCGAAAAAAATACACTTGGTATGTGATAATTTATTGAACTGCATATCTGAGTGTCACATTTCGACGTTGAGCTACTTGAAGCAACTTGTCATCATACGATGCAAAGGATGCTGTCGACATATCAGCGTGTGCAACTCTTTCGTCATTCTTATTTTGTCTTCTGATGCTAACTTACCCTATTCTGTTTTCTTTTTTTGTCGTCTGTAACTTTGTTGTTATCGCCTTGAAATAGATCTCTGCATAGCCAAGAGGAAGAAACAATATTTCCTTTCTTTGGGTCTCGCAGATATTGAAATTTTTCAAATTGCATGCAGTAATATAAGAAAGCACAAGTAGAGTAATATATCACATATTTTCGTATCAGTACACCTGTATGTATCGGGAACAAAGACAAGAGAATATTATACCAAACAACAAATGACATGTTTACAGCGACTGTTAATTTGATGATTAATTGATAAAAATCTATTTCGAAAGTAGTTAGCTTTCGTGTGGCACATGAGTCAATCAGAGATGGAATCGGTTCGGCTGTAAACAATCGATATATTTTTTTACTTTGAGTTCAACGGCTTTTCACTGAAATGTAACTAATACCGTATGGGAAAAGGCCTCAGGAAGCCGATTTTTCGATAAGCACATATTCTTGTAGCCCTGAGTGTCCTCTTTTCTAATACACGCCTCCAAAAAAAATTATTATAATCACAAGTAGTAAAAGCATCACCAATATTTATTTTATATGAGCGAAACTATCGACAATTAAAACAAAACTTGTGATCATTTTTCAGAGAATACTCTCGCCAACTTCTTTTAATGAACCAGTTGGCTTGAAAAGAACGGTTTTGGGAGTTTGATGGATATGAACTGAGTTTTGGTTGACTAGGAAGATCATTACCAGACGTACTAATATCCACTGTCATAGATTTATTTCTAGCATTTTCTGCTACAGGTGTTGTATCTACCGTCTTCTCAGTCAAAGAAGACGAAGAAGAAAAATGAGTTTGATCACGAGAATCAAAACAAAGATTCTACGATGAAGATGATGGATCAAGAATATCTAACCCCTGTTTCTCTTCATTACGTACCGTTTTTATTATATCATAGAAAAAATAACTTGATCGTTTGTCATTTCTCAGGTTGCATTTTATCAGATTATAAGTAGAAAGTTATTTTGGTTTTTATTGAATAGTTTTGTGCGCTGTTAAGAAGAGAAAATAAAATAAAGGTATTTATTCATAAGTCAACAAGATAGAAACAATAGACCAAAACAAAATTCTAGTTTTTATTTTTACTGAAATTAATGAGAAAAGAAGATCGTAAAGTAACAACATGTTCTTTAAAACAACAAACTTGTTTCACATGAATTTCGAACTGCAGGATGGGCTCAACCAGCTCCTGGCACCACAACTACAAATATTGTCTTCTATATTAATATTCCTCCTCAATTCCGTGTTCACGTTGTCGTCGTGAGGAGGCTTACTCAGATTCCTCTACCCACAAGGTAAAGGAAGATGGAGACCAAGAGACACGGATAGTCCGTCAGGACTTGCAACCCGCACGGATGAAATTAAATCTGCAGCGACTCAGCAAAACAAAAGAGTCCCAAACGGCGTAGACGGGAAAAAACTTTCTCTAGGCACTAGGACGACTGGATCCCCGAAGGGACTTGCAGAAAAAAACCGCCGCAATCAACGGAGTACCTCCAATCGGTTACACATTCTTACATTCAACTGCAAATATGGACTAAAGGATGAGCCAACTGTCAAAGTTCAAATACGACATCATTGGTCTCTGCGAAACACGTGCCGAGGTTGAAAGTCGAACAAAATGGATTCAAACTGGTGATGAACTTGGCATTGGCGAAGGAAATGGTCAACCATGTGTTGGAGGAGTTGGATTCATCATCAACAGCCGCATTGCCAGCCATGTGGTCGAGGTCCAAATCCATTCGCATCGACTTGCAACGCTCAAGCTCGACATAGGAAGAAAAACACCACTCCTGATCATCCAAATATATGCTCCTCACAAAGAATATGGCATAGATGAAATTGAAACATTTTACTCAGAAGTCGAGACACATCTGGGCCAACCTGCATATCAGAAGATCGTTATCGGCGACTTCAACGCCCAATTAGGACCGAAAGACACCAATCAACGATACTTGGGGAAGTTCACGAGTGGCACATGGGACAACAATGAAACCGGAGAACTATTAGCGGACTTTGCCGGCGCAAACAAACTATTTATAATTAACACACTCTTTCAGAAACCTCCGAACAAGCGATGGGCATTCGAATCAACAAATACCAACAAGTCAAGACACGAAATTGACTTTGGATTATGTACTGATCGAATCATGGTGACGAACGTCGAATTCCTCAGCCGACTAGACAGTGGCAGCGACCATCGCCCGGTAAGGTTCACTTTAAACACTAAGATCAGAAAGAAAAGACCACCGATTATGAAATCTGTTCGAGTATTACACGAAGGTCTTCTACAACGAAATATCGTCGAGAAGGACTGGACGACCAACGGCTCGCTGTCTACGAAGTTTGACAAGATCCAAAGGCAACT